ATAAATTACCATGTGAAGCTACTGAATAGTTTGAAGAAGAGCACTCAATAATCTTTTGAATATGATTGCTACAACAAAAAAAAACATTAACTTAATTGGAAAATAAAAGAACAAAAAATAATTAAGAGAGGATGCATGGCATGTTTAGGAGAAATCAAATGATCCAAAAGGATTCGAGTTAACACAAGGGAATAACTCGGATACCCTAATTTATGGAATGCATATGGCATTGAGAAGAGGATTTTCATAAATTACCATGTAAAGCTAGTGATTGGAAGAAAAGCACCCAATAATCTTTCGAATATGATTGCTACAACAACAACAACAAAACAAAAAAAAAACATTAACTTAATTGGAAAATAAAAAATAAAAAATAATCAAGAGAGGAAGCATTGCATGTTTAGGAGAATCAAATGAAGGAGAAGGATTAGGGTTAGGGTTACCGTAACAGGACTGAGTCAACACAAGAGAATAATATTCCGATAAGCACTCACACGAATGCATATGAACGTCCTTAAAGTTCTCTAACTACCTATTAATCAAATTTTTTATAGATAAATTAATTCATCACAACTCAATTATTTTTTAAATACAAATCAAAATTCAAATATACTTTTTAATTTTAAAGAATTCGAAAGCTAAATAATTTAGTTGAACATTAATTTTTTTAAAGTTTAAATTCAAATTTATATAAAAAACATATATAAATTAAATATTAACAATGAATTTTGAATAAATTTGGAAAACATTAGATAACAGAGAGAGATTATAAAACAAAAAAAATATATTTAACAAAAGTAAATATTTCATAATATATAATGACTATAATGAGTGGTAACGACACATAGTTTTAATAGACCATTTTTTATTAGTAAACACTTACATGAATTCCACTATGTGGGAGCTACCTAAATTTTAATCAATTAAATAGTTATAAAAAAAATGTAGATTTAAATAGTGTGTTGATAATTGTTTTTGCCTGGGTTCCATAAGGAGGAATATTCTTGTCATCTCTCATTTTATATCTGCCATCTCTTATTTTTATAATGGTAAAACTACATCATCAAAATTAACTAAAAAGAGTGGGAAAAAAATTTGGTAGCATATTTCGAAAAATTCGATGCGTTTTGTAATTTTTTTTAAATTCGATATTTTATTTTGATAGACAAAAAAGACTGAAATTAATATTATTAGATTTTTCAAAAAATGTTATACAATACCAATTTTTTTTTTTTGAAAAATGCATTAAAAACACATTTTGTAAATATTCGGAACTGTATTTGAAAAAAAAATCAGTTAAAAACTCATAGTTGTTTGAAAATTTTGATAAAAACTCGTGAAATTCTTCAAAAATTCAATAAAACCTAAAACATTCAAAAATTCGGAAACACACAAATTTTCAAAAACATAAAAAATCATACAGAATATTATGGTAGGGTTGTAACGGTGCTAAGTAAAGTTTAGAAAGTGGCAAGAAGATTCCTAGTTGACAAGATATATAATGGCCCAATAAAGTTGTTTTTTCGCTCCTCCAAAGGAATGATAATAAGGCAGAACAACTAATAGAGGCATACGACCTAACTTACATAGACTTAGGTCATACCAGACTTTTTTTTAAATAGAAAATGTCTACGGTTTTTTTATAAGCCTATTTAGCTAAGAGAATTTCTTAAGGCACCCCATGGGCTAGCTTCTTAGACACCGCGTAGATTTCCTATAATTCTTCTTGTTTTCGAAGATATATCTTCGGACGCGCCATAATTTAACTAAATGTTAAAATATTCCGGAGATATATCTCCCGACACACCAAAGCTAAATTGAACATTGAAATATTTCAGAGATATATCTTCGGAACAATTTGGAGCATATTATCACGCCAGACACTTCTCTTACCACACTTTTTCATTTCCATTCATAAACCTCTTCATCTCTCTCATTCACAAATTTCTCAAACTTCAACAAATTTAATTTCTTCCGTCTGACGCTCAAGTAATCATCAAGTTGCATCCAGTGCATCATTCAACATCTTCCGAATCATATAATTCGGTTAAGTTTTTTGAGTTTCTGATAAATATTCGAGTTTTATTGTAAACGAGTTAGAATCCATTATTAGGTGTCGAAATGTTTTGAAATCAAATGAAAAAGTGTTGTTGTTGGCTCAAATGGACGACCAGAGCTTCAAATTTGTCATTCTAGGGCGCATAGGACGCCATTAGCGCGACCTCTGAGTTGCAGAATGTTTCAGAGATACATTTCTGAAAAATTCAACGTCTCATGTGCTCTAGGTGATTTAGGACATACATCTGCGAATTTTTTCTGTAGTTGTATCTCCAGAGTCACACAGAGTACATGAGACATTGAATTTTTTTGGAGATGTATCTCTGGAATTTCTCAGTCTGTTTTTTTTCTTTTTGTTTTATAATTTTTCTTATTGCGTAAACTCATTATACGGTTAATTATATTATACGTTGCAGACATAATGGCTGACAAAACCGACCGATTAAGGCATTGACGGGTTGCCCAACATGCATCCGTTAGACGAGAGCGGAGCTAGCCGAGTCGGGATGCAGCAGTACCTTTAATTAGGGAAAGGCGCCGACTGCTGGTGTACAGTCTACTCCTGAGGCTCAGTCCATTCCTAGGGTTCAACTTTCACCTCAGGCCACTCCATTTACATCTCAGACCATTCCATTTATATCTCAGGCCACTCCATCTACATCTCATCCCTCTCCACCTTCTTCATCTTCTTCCTGCAGACCATAGGATGCACCAGCTGACACATCACTTCCCACATCTTCTTGCAGGTGGCGGGATGCACATGTGTCACCTCTTGTTAATCTGGTGCCACCTCCTGTTGATTTGGTCACAGCAAATGATTGGGAAGCACCGGTGCCACCTCCGAAAGGTGATGTTATTGATGTCGAGTCAGAGGATTTAGGAGGGGGTCCATATGATATTTGCCTACTTCCTTTGTACGCAGACCAAACTCCCAGACATATCTGGGACGGAGAGGTAACATTAGTCACATTGTTACTATATTTGTTTTTACATTAATTTAAATGGCTGATATTGATTATTTCTAACATTGATTATTTCTGGAAATTTGCGTGTGCGTGAACCCCAGAAGTTTTTGACCCTTGGGCGGAAGATTTTAGCATTACATCAGCCTGATGTAGAGTGGTTTCAATCGGTTCTGACCGCTTCTGGGTCGAATGACCTATTGTTAAGTATAATTTTTGACTTAAATTGAACTATCTTTCTTGACACTTTTCAACTCAATTCTCATATTTTAATAGATGTATTTCTTGTTCTTGTGTGATTTCTAAATTATATTGCAAATACCTTTTGATTCTTTGATGTGTGTGTTATTATGCAGAATTTAGTCATAAAACATCAATTACTAAGACACAAAGGAGTGGACAAGGAAGCCAAAAAAATGAAGAGGAATTAGCATGCATCAATGAAGATTCTTTCAAGTTTGGATGGTGATGATAGTACTTAAGCATGTAAATGTTGGCAAGGTACAAGATTACCTCTTTCTAGGATGTAGAATGTTTAAGAACTTATTTTCTTTGTGGAAATGTAATTTTGTTTCTTGTTACAACTTTGTTGAATGCTTGTATCACTTAGGTCCAAAAGCCAAAATGGTGAGAAACTTCCATTATCTACTAAATGCATAGGATGACTGATAAATTTTGTTTAGTACTTTTGATTCATGCTTTATCTTGTGATTAGTTTGATTTTATGGAAGCATTAGTTTGGTTACCTCTTTCTAGTACTTTTGATTCATGCTTTATCTTGCGATTAGTTTGATTTTATGAACACCCAATCAAATATGTCAAGAACGAGCTGACGACTACTGGGGAAGCGGCTGATTGTAGTCCCTGAGCCCAGCCCGGGAGGAATGCACGGTTCCCTGGCGCTTCATGGGACGAGCGGTCGCAGTCCCCCTCCCTCTAATCTAACCCTCCCCCGCTCCCCATACGAATTTGAACTACGATCCCCTGGAACAAAACGCTTTTGATACATATTCAAAAATAGTCAAAAAATAGTCGAGCAGGTCATTCATTAGGGATTCGGCGGATCTACGTTATATGATATTTATTCTGATATTACAGAGTATGACTGAATTTTATGAGTTACAATTTGCGAGGGGCTTACTCCCTAGCTAGATTTGCGAGGGGTTTATCCCCTAGTCATAAATTTGCGATGGCCTGATTAGCTAGGGGTCACATTCCCTCGCAAATTTATGTTTTGTGATGGGTTTTCTCCTTTAGTGAAGGGTTAAACCTCTAGCTAAATGTATTTTTTCTTGTAGTGAATTAAGTAGAAACAAAATTTTGTTTAAAAAGGATTTGTTAGGAGATCGTATAGAATTAAAAATTGATGGATTGCGAATGGTGGATAGCAAAGGCCAAAAACATTGATTTTAATTGAGAAGATTGACAATCAAATTTGAAACTTTATTTGCGTAACTCACTCTTAATAGTATATGATTCACTCTTGTTGTAAGGGTTGAGTACTCTTTGTACTTATTTTCAATAAATAAATTTAAATAAAAAACATCTAGCTATTTTTGTAAAAGAGAAAAAATAAAAAATTTAAAATTATATTTTTATATGTCTATGGTTTAGGCTCTCACCCTTTAATATGTTTCTTCCATTCCGTCCCATAATTTTGTGGATTTTTACGAGCAAAGGCGTTAATATAAATTTTTATATTCTTAAGTTAAAATAATTTTGTGTAGGAGATTCGTTCGTCCTACACTTATTTTTTTTAAAAATGGATTTAGATTTTAAACCTACATTTTTAAAAGTGATCACTCTAATCCATCTTATTTTTTACAAATTTTTGTAGAAGGATCTTAAATGAGATGGACATGCTCATATAAAGTTATAGCCAGCTCATAATGGATTACATGATATGAATATTTCATCTAGAAATATAAAATCCATCCGGTAAGTAGCTAATTATTAAAGCATGAAAGGAAAGCTAATTATTTAAGCGATGTAGTAGATAGGATCAGGGAGCTTGAAAGTCCTATCGCCAGTGTTGGTTCCAAGAATATCACTCCATTGATCACCAATGTTTCCAATGATTCTGTATCCTTCTTCCTCCAATTTCTTTCTCTCACTTGATTTGTATGTTACTGCTGTTTTACCATGATATATTGATAAATCCCTGCAACCATACAAATAGTGTTTTTTATACTTGCTATTTTATCTTAATATAATATTTACAAATAGTTCGCAAATAAGTTAGGGACATCATTATCCAAATTATTTTACGTATCCCAAACAAAACCTATTTAATGTCAACAATAATTCACTAGTTCTTTATCATATTAGGTGGCTTATATTGAATCAATTTATAAAGTAATATTTCTATTATTTTCTTGATAGCTAGGTTTTAGAAAAAGTTTAATCTAGAAATAAAACTTACTTCAAAATAAGCCTTTCCCATGTGTGATATCCAGCAAGTTTCAAATTCTTAGCAGTTATATCAGTTTGTTTAAGTGGTCTTCCAGTTAAGAACACAATCTTCACACCAAAAGATAACAATTTTTTGTACAATTTCTGTGACTCCGGCAGTGCCGGTGCTTTTCCAAGATCAACCCATTCGTTAAACGATGTATCATTGTATGGATTCACCCTATATCAATAAATGATCAATTAATATATTGTCAGAAAAAATATAAATAAGAAATGAATAAAATAAAGAGCATACCCAAAACCATGTTTAGCATAGTAAGGAAGATTAGATAGTGAAGTTTCATCAATATCAAAGACCCATATATCTTTTCCATCTCCACTTATATTAAGAGTCTTAGCATAGTAATAACCTTCACGGTTAACAGTTTTGGAGTCAGCTCTATATTGATCACCTAACATGTAATTTCCAACGTAGGTTTCACATTCGAGTGGAACTGTTTTCCAGTTAATAACGTTGTGTGCTTCAACACCAAGTCTCCAACTAGAACATGACACTTCTGGAATGTAGTGTCCACCTGGACCAGTTTTCATCCGGAGTGGGAATACTTTGTTGGTTGAACCATGTTCATGGCTTAGATCATCACCGTGACATGTTGCTAAAAGTGTGACACAAAAGAAAAGGAAGATCTTCATTTGTATGAATGATGAATTTGCAAGTTAATTGATGCTATTTGTTGAGAGTTTTTGTTCTTTAAATAGATAGTTTCTGTAGTTGAGGGATCACATGGTTTTGTATATAATAATAAGACAATTAACGAAAAAGAAAATGTGTATTGATTTGTACAGGTTATTTATTATATCTTGTCATTGAAAATTTAAATAAATATTAACGTGTTCCTACAAAATTTCTGGAAAATATATTTTATTGGAAAAGAAATCGACTCGTTTGAAATGAGGGGTACTTGTTATGAGTTATTGTATGGATCCGAAATGGTTGCAAAAGTAAAGTTAAGCCTTTTAATTTGATTGAGACTTGATATAATAAATTTTGTGGTCAAAATCTGGAGCCCATATGTTATGCATGGATGATATTATATGTATGAAATGAAGTTGAGATAATTATTTAATTAGATATTCAAAGATCATATACCCTCACTAATGAAATGATATTAGTTATTTTTTAAATCAACTAGCAGATACTCTCTCAAGTCGTGTTTCACAAGTGATGTCTCATCTTCTAGCAAAATCTTTTTTAAAGTATACTTTCACAAGACTCTAATTGCTCTGATAGACACGACCAGACACGACCAAATGAGTTTTTATACTTCTCTTTCACAACTCGGAGTTTTTAAGTTCATTTACCAAATAAAATGATCACATAAATACTTCACTGGAACTTTGAACCTTCTGCTTCATAAGGCTTTAGATTTATTTAAGTTAATCGTTATTATCAAAGAGTTCAAATTATATCACCACCAACTTTAACATTTATCAGTGTTATCATCATCAAAACCTTAAGACTTTTGTCAACATCAGAATTATCAACTTTATACTTGAAAACACATAGATCCATAGGATTTGTGATACTAGAGTGCATAAGAGTGCATAAGTTCCAGTGGTTATGCTCCCTTTTGTGTGGGTAAAGAAAGTGGTATGGGTATGTGCAAAAGTGGTGATGATGATAATATTTTTTGTTTTAGTATTAATGTCGGTTTTGATAGACACATTAGAATCTTATAAAAAATATTTATATTAGTTGTAGAAAAAAAATATTTTTCCAGGTTTTATTAAAGAGATGGACCATTATAAATAATTTTCGTGCCCTTTTCATGTATTTCAACAACCAGCAAAGAAAATCTCAAAAAACAAATAATTAAAAATAACAAACTTTCCTCTTCCTTGCATAGTAAAAATATGAAATGATATCATTTTTACTTTTAATTTTTTATTATTTATGTGTGTTGTCAAATATTACTTTTTATTTGAATGTAATAAAAATATATATTTTACTTAAAACCGTACATTTGTTGGTTAATTTATTGACAATTGGCATGCCTTGTCATTTTCGATTTAATATTCCACAATGGTAAAGTGACATGAAATACACATTACAATTAAAATAAAATAATTAGAGGATAAAAGGTAATATACTATATATTATAAAAATGTTTCATGTCAAAGTAACGTACATTGCACATATAAAATAAAATAAAGTAACGAAGATTTCAACTTCATCAATACAAAATACAAAATAAAATGAGTTTAATTATTATACATTATCAACGTAAAAGGTTTTATAGTGTTAATTTATTATTATTATTATTATTATTTATTTTTATTATTTTATAAATAATCAAAATAAAAATTAAATATTTTATAATATTTATTTTGGACTAGGCTGACGTTTAGCCCATTTCTTGGTAGGCCCAAAGCCTACTGCAGTTGGGGGCCATCTGAACCACGCTGACGGGCAGAAGATCCGTCGGGCACAACCTTCCTCTCCGTCAGGCACACGCCAACAGCTGTCGGAGTAAGGCCCCCACATCCGGCCAGTCAACCTCCTTTTTCCCCGTTGTTGGGCAGGACCCTCGCGTCCAGCAGGCCTCTGTCTGCCCGGAAATCCCCGGGCCTTCCCCACACGTTCTCCACGTGTCCCTCACGCAGGGACACGTCATAAAGTAACTACCCACGTCCTGGAGATTCGGTCTTCCTCCTCTCGGATAGTGCAGAACAGTTACCCTAGGGCGAAGACCACGTCCTGATCTTCACAACGCCACGTCAGCCCTAACAGTTACTAACATTGGGCCTGGCAGCCCAGCCCAGTGCTAGATAACCGTTGGCCTTGCGTCGGGGGCTCACTATAAATACCTTCTTCACTAGAGGGTCAGGTAACTTAACTCTCTTACTCTCTCTGTACTTACTTCCACTCTGCTCGTCGCTTACTTTGACATCAGAGTGTGTTTCAGGTACACGTACCCCCCTCCTCTTCAACACTTAAGCGAGCCGCTTATTGAACGACAACGCGTGCGTGGCAGATCATCGATCCCCTTCTGATCAGGTACGATTAATATTCAACATCTATAAATTAATTGATCGTGTAAAATTATTTTTTCCTTCCATATATCTCAACTAAATTCAAATAAAATAATATCAATTACGATAAGGAAGGCCTTAGAAAAAAAAACAAAAGAAGATAAGGAAGAAGTAGGGTGGTCAGTGGCTCTTTAGTGCTTTTGAAAACTTAGAAACAAAATTTTATTTTAATTGGACGGTTTGTAATATTCCGGATTTGTTTTGGTCTTTAAAAATGGTGACTTGAAAATAGTTTAGCAGGTAATTCTTATTCCAATTGTAACTTTTTAAAAATTTATATATGGTTTTTCTTGTTGTCTAGTTTAAGTTGTTGTCGGTTTGAAATTTTTTCTTCTCTGAATCTTTCCAAATCTTTTGTAATCAAGCAAATAATCCATGAATTCTTGCTTAAAGAAAATCTTCAAAATATAGGTAATTTTTTTAATGAAAAGAAAGCCTCCATTTAGAATTTATCTTAGGTCTTTGTATGTTTGACCGACCCTGTAACTAGGAATGGAGAAAAGGGATCACTCGACTTCACGTGGAAAACGAGTTCGATTTGTTAGGGTACCTTGTTAGTTGTTTTAAAAAATAACCATAAGAAAACCATTAAATAATATACTCAACTTTATTTCATACATAAAATATCATCCATGTACAACATATAGGCTCCACAAAATTTATTATATCCACAATACACATTTTCTTTTTCATTAATTGTCTTATTATTATATACAAAACCATGTGATCCCTCAACTACAGAAACTATCTATTTAAAGAACAAAAACTCTCAACAAATAGCATCAATTAACTTGCAAATTCATCAATCATACAAATGAAGATCTTCCTTTTCTTTTGTGTCACACTTTTAGCAACATGTCACGGTGATGATCTAAGCCATGAACATGGTTCAACCAACAAAGTATTCCCACTCCGGATAAAAACTGGTCCAGGTGGACGCTACATTCCAGAAGTGTCATGTTCTAGTTGGAGACTTGGTGTTGAAGCACACAACGTTATTAACTGGAAAACAGTTCCACTAGAATGTGAAACCTATGTTGGAAATTATATGTTAGGTTATCAATATAGAGCTGACTCTAAAACTGTTAACCGTGAAGGTTATTACTATGCTAAGACTCTTAATATAAGTGGAGATGGAAAAGATATATGGGTCTTTGATATTGATGAAACTTCACTATCTAATCTTCCTTACTATGCTAAACATGGATTTGGGTATGCTCTTTATTTTTTTCATTTCTTATTTATATTTTTTCTGTCAATATATTAATTTATCATTTACTGATATAGGGTGAATCCATACAATGATACATCGTTTAATGAATGGGTTGATCTTGGAAAAGCACCGGCACTGCCGGAGTCACAGAAATTGTACAAAAAATTGTTATCTTTGGGTGTGAAGATTGTGTTCTTAACTGGAAGACCACTCAAACAAACTGATATAACTGCTAAGAACTTGAAACTTGCTGGATATCACACATGGGAAAGGCTTATTTTGAAGTAAGTTTTATTTCTAGATTAAACTTTTTCTAAAACCTAGCTATCAAGAAAATAAATATAGAAATATTACTTTATAAATTGATTCAATATAAGCTACCTAATATGATAAAGAACTAGTGAATTATTGCTCACATTAAATAGGTTTGTTTGGGATACGTGAAATCATTTGGATAATGATGTGGCTAACTTATTTGCAAACTATTTGTAAATATTATATTAAGATAAAATAGCAAGTATAAAAAACACTATTTATATGGTTGCAGGGATTTATCAATATATCATGGTAAAACAGCAGTAACATACAAATCAAGTGAGAGAAAGAAATTGGAGGAAGAAGGATACAGAATCATTGGAAACATTGGTGATCAATGGAGTGATATTCTTGGAACAAACACTGGCGATAGGACTTTCAAGCTCCCTGATCCTATCTACTACATCGCTTAAATAATTAGCTTTCCTTTCATGCTTTAATAATTAGCTACTTACCGGATGGATTTTATATTTCTAGATGAAATGTTCATATCATGTAATCCATTATGAGTTAGCTATATCTTTATATTTTGTTATCTATTCATGGATATGGATATAATGCTATTTATATATAGAATCTGTTTGGTAAGGTTAAAAAAAAGCTTTTAACTTCTAATTTTTAGTTTTTTAGTCTATATTAATGAAAATGATTTGTTTGATAATTCTCTTTTAATTTTTAATTTATAGTTCTTTTACTAGTTTGTAGTTTTTTTTTTATTATTTGAAATGAGTTTGTAACTTTTAACATATGAATTTTTCTTTTATTTATACCTTTATTATTTAAAAAAAAAACTATTCTTACCTCTTAAGATTATGTAATGTTTAATGTTTAATGTATTTAAATAAAATCAAAATTATATAATAAATTTGGAAATAGTGTTCATAATTTTCAAGTTAATAAAATGTTATAGGAGAATCAATGAGATAGACCGAGACGAAAAAATTCAAGATATCATTACAGTTTTATGTAAAATATTAAACAATAAATTTATTTTTATTATTATTTTAAAAATTACAATGTTATTAATATGTTTATCTTGCTAAATTTCATTATAAAATGTGTATACAAATTT